CATGGGTCACAGATGGAAGCAGTTTCATTCGAGAGGGTCAGAGGAGAGGAGCAGCACCTCAGCTCAAAGGGCTGAACTGATAGCACTGTCCCAGGCCCTTACCATGGGAAAAGGGCTGGCTGTCAACATCTACACAGACCACAGACAGCCAGTATACATTTGCCACTGCTCATGTGCACAGAGCCATATACCAAGAGAGAGGGCTCCTGACTGCAGAAGGAAAGACTATCAAAAATAAAGATGAGATCCTACAATTACTTGAAGCCCTCTGGCTACCAAAGAGAGTTGTGATCATACACTGTCCAGGCCATAAGAAGGGGCAACTGCGGTGGCTAGAGGCAACAACCTAGCTGATAAAGCTGCCAGAGAGGTAGCATTAGAGGAACCCACTATTTCTGTGTTGGCTGCAACACTATCAGAACTGCTCAATCCCAACCTGCCAGAATGCCAGCCTATATGGAAGAAGAGATCAAATGGGGAAAATCAGCCCATGAGCCAGTTTTCAGAGGGTTGGTGGCAAACAGTTGAAGGTAAGCTAATATTGCTCACTTCAGTGGCAAGGTCTATCCTCAGGAAAATTCACAGAGTCACTCACATGGGAGTGAGACAAACAACTGACACAGTGAGACAATCAAAGGTGACTTTCAGAGACATGCAGGATGTTATCCAAGGCATAGTGTCAAGCTGCAAAGCTTGCCAATTAACCAATGCCCACATCACAGCTAAACATCCATGCTCTCAGCTGTGAGGTAAGAGACTGGAAGCCTACTGGGAAGTTAATTTTACAGAGATCAAGTCAGGGAAATACGGCTACAAGTACCTACTAGTGTTCGTGAACACTTTCTCTGGATGGATGGAAGCATTCCCAACGAAACTGAAACTGCAAAGGTAGTGGCTAAGAACTTGCTGGAGGAAATCCTGCCCAGGTATGGATTCTCACACATGATAGGGTCAGACAATGGACCAGCATTTGTAAGCCAAGATGTAGCAAGATTTATTGGGGCAGATTGGAAATTACATTGTGCATATAGACCCCAAAGTTCAGGACAGGTAGAGAGAATGAACCGAACTTTAAAAGAGACCTTGACCAAATTTGCCTTAGAAACTGGCAGAAACTGGGTTGTTCTCCTTCCTTTTGCCTTGCACCAGGTAAGGAACTCCTCTTACTGGATGGGGTTAACAACTTTTGAAATTATGTATGGTACCCCTTCTCCCATCATACCTAGCCTCCAGTCAGCAGCTACTGAAGAATACTACAAGATGATAAATTATAACTAAGGTCAGAGCAACACAGTGGGTTCATGAGCAGGTTTGGCCTAAACAGAGTGCCCTCTAAGAAACAACCCCGGTCCCAGAATTACTCCAGTTCCAACCCAGAGACTGGGTCTACTAAAAGAAGTTTTACAGTGACATGCTAGAACCCAGGTGGAAGGGACATTAGGTCATCTTGCTGACCATGCTGACTGGCATTAAAGTGGACAGGATTGCTGCTTGGATACACTGCACTCACGTGAAGCCAACAAGTCCCTTCTCCCCAGAGGAAGACCACCAAGCTTCAACGTGTCCACTGTGATGGAGAGTTCAAAGGAGCACCAATCCCTTCAAGTTAAAATTAACCCGGGTCTTAGGCTTGCTGTTTCTACTAACTGTGTGCATTGCTGATTCCAGCCCACATCTCCATTCAGAGACCAGAAACCCATACCAGCCCTTTGACCTGACTTGGACAATTGAGAATCCTGAAACTGATTATCATGTTCAACTGGCTCACATACAAAAAGACACTCGTGACGCCCTGGTTCCCAGAATTGGTATTCGATATACGCTAGCTGGCCGATAATTTGTGGCCTGATACTCAAAAAACTTTGCAACATTCATATCCTCCATGTCGGTGAAGGACATTTTATATATGTCCTGGGGAGAGAAAGACTATTAGCTGCAGGGGGCCCAGAATGGTTTTGCTGTGCCTCCTGAGGGTGTGAAACACCAGTTATGGGAATTAAGACATGGAAAGTGTCTAGGGAGGATTTAATCACAGTCACTGGGCAAGGGGATGACTCCAAAGATTTGTTAAGATTTACAGACAAAGGAAAACAAGCAAAAGGATGGGAGGCTGGGAGATCCTGGGGACTCTAGCTCCACATTGTTGGGGGAGTCAGTCCTGGGCTCCTTTTTACAGTCAGACTTCTGATAAAGCCAGTTATAAACCTCTTGCAGGTAGCTGTAGGGCCAAATCAAATTTTGACAAACCTTAAAGATTTACCCTTAAAAACCCAGTGCCCACATCACCCCTCAGACCAGCAGGCAACTGCTTCCCCAATCCATCCCCTGCAAGGATCACCAGTTCCAGAACTTTTCCTAAACCACAGAGAGCCAGCAGATCTCCTCTGGTCAATGATGCTAAAAACCTTACAAATTCTAAATGGCTCTCAGCCAGAACTAACCACTTCTTGTTTGCTATGTTATAATGCCAGACCCCCTTTTTATGAAGGCATTGGATTAATATTCCAGCATGATGAGTCTGAAAAAGGCACTGCCTGCAGATGGTCCCAGGAAGGACCGCCCTTGACTCTTCAGACCATATCAGGGCAAGGCACATGCCTAGGGAAAGTTCCCCCATCACACCAGCATCTCTGTAACCGAACAATACCTGCTGTTCATTCCAAATGGGTTATCCCTCCCCACCCTTGAACAAGCATGGTGGGCTTGTTCAACCAGGCTAAGTCCGTGTATGCATGAAGAAGTCCTTAGTTCCCCTACCACAAAAGAATTTTGCATTCTAATCCAGCTGGTCCCCCGTATAACCTATTATTCAGAGGAGGTGGTGCTAAAGAGCTTAGTGGGGTATGTCAGGGAGAGGCCTCATGAGGCAGAAAAGAGAACCTATCTCTCTGATCCTATCAGTGATTCTGGGAGCAGGACTTGCAGGGGCTGATGCTGGAATAGCAGCACTGAAATTACAAGAAAAGAACCGCAGTAGCTTAAAAGCTGACTTAGACGAAGACATCCAGCACCTAGAGAAGTCCATTTCACACCTAGAATGCAATGTAGATCCCCAGGCAGAGGTAGTTCTGCATAAATAGATGGGGGCTAGACCTAATTTTCCTAAAACATGGAGAATTATGTGCCATCCTAAGTGAATAACGCTGTTTCTGTCAATCATTCTGGGGCCATTAGAGAGTCACTAGCTAAAGTTAGAGAGAATTTAGAATAACATCAAAGAGAACGGGAAAATTCCAAAAATTGGAATCATGCACTGTTTGATTCTTCTCCCTGGCTAACCACGCTTATCTCAGCAATTCCAAGGCCCCTGATTATAATTTTACTGCTGCTCACTTCTGGGCTATGCATAATCAACAAACTTTTCCAGTATATGAAACAGAAGCTAGGAACCATTCAACTGATGGTTATCAGGTCTCAATACCAGCCAGCTAATGATTTAGACTGTTAGTGAGACCAAGATTGGCCACCTGAGTTACTAGCAGAGGGGGTGATGAGGAAGCCAAACCAAGCAGCTAGCACCGGCCTCAGCACTTCCTCAGAAGTGCACTCACCTCCCCACAGCCCCATGCACACTGAAGACACCCATTTCTTCTGGCCACCTCACTCTCCCAAAAGATGCAAAGACCCACAAATCCTCATTCCAATATTACTCCCATCCTAGGAATCAGCCTGAGAACAGATAAACAAATGCAGCCTTCAGTCTCCATGCCACCAAAATTGGCACCCTCTCTGATGGATGGCCAAACCCTCCCCAACACAGGTGGCTTATGGCCTTGGGAAAAGCAAAAACCATACATCCTTAGAGAGAAATCATGCCAATTAAGCGTTCCCGGGCAGCTGTGACCGGTTTGTAAAAACATTATAGCTTCCATCATCCACCGCTCCCCGCCCCCACCACCGTATAATCTGCTTGTATATATTCTCTACACCCCTAGACATGGGGCTGAAATTTTGCTGTGTGCAATTTGTAGTCCAAACTTGGGTTTGAAATAAAAGGTTCTTATGTTTCTCTATACCGGATATGGCAATTCTTTGAGATCTCTTGGAGACCCCGAGACCTGGGCATAACAGATCCAGAAATGGTGGTAGCCATGAGGATGGACAGAGATGGGGAAGAGGACATGGGTAACAGATGTCTCCCAGGTACTCATCAGCATTCAGAGGAAGGAATGAATAAGGTGAGGAGGAAGGACAGCCTAGGAGAGATTTTTAGCCTGGCCGCAACCATGACTCCATCCAAAGGCTCGACCTTCCTCCCCTTCATTGTCAAAATGTGTGTATGCAAGTGTGTGTGTGTGTGTGTGTGTGTGTGTGTGTGTGTGTGTGTGTGTGATGTTGACTTGTGGGAAGAAGAGCCACATTCACAGGTACAACTCCAAAGTGCTGAGGTCAAAATTAGGAGTCTTTAGGGGAGAAATACCTGGACACAGGGAATAGAGTCATATTAACAGAAGGGCAAACTGTAGCCACACAGTAGACCTGGGGAGGAGTTTCAAATGTCAGGTGCTGAGTCTTAAATGAAAGCACATGTATCCCTTGATTCCTAGAAGTTCCCAACCCATAAAGGGCCCTAATTTCATCTGCCTTACAGGGTCACTAGAAAAGAAAAGTTGAAGATCCTTGGGTGGATTTCACAGAGTGGCCATCCACACACATGAATGTATTATCTTGATGTGTCCCCCTCATTACACCTCTACTCCCAACACCTCTTGCATGAAGAACTTCTGGAAGCCTCTGCAAGCTCTTCTGAAACACAACCTGTTCTCTGCACCTCTTTAAGTCTGAGGATCCAAGAGGAATTCCTGCGAGATCCCTTCAACTCCTCTCCCATCCGCTAAACATGGACATCACACAAGTTTGCATCAACCAGAAAGCTTTATTAGGCTACCACCATGAGAAGGTAGGGGAGACAGATGGGGACCACACTAAGAAAGCAGGGTTCTGCTCCAAGGCCCCAGGATGAGAGGCCCTGTGGATCAGGAAGCTCTGGGCAAAACAGATTAGTTCCTGGAACTCTGGCTGTGGCTCTGGCTGAAGCTGCTTGAGCTTTGCTCCTTCAGGATGGACCGGGGCTGGCGGGAGGATGAGGAGAAGACTGAAAAAGACAAAGAAAACAGTGAGACAGATTCTGGGAGCTACGCAAGCTGCCAAGCAGGGGAAGGGAGTTCCAGGATTCTGGGAAGAGGGCCTTAACCCTGACCCTACAGAGTTAAGCTGTTGGTCCCAGGTGCCTTACCTTCTCCAGAAGAAGAGGACTGCCCAGAGGAGTGATGTGAGGAGGAGCTTCTGGGATTGGGGGAGAAGACAGAGGAGCATTAGATGTACAGGGAGCAGCAGAGGCAGCAGTACTGTGAGCAGGGACTAAGGGCCAACTCACTGGAAACCCTCGCCATCCAGCAGACGGCGGTAAGTGGCGATCTCCTGCTCCAGCCGTGTCTTCACATCCAACAAGATGTTGTACTCCTGGCTCTGCTGCTCCATCTCACAGCGCAGCTGAGCCAGCTGCTCCTCCACACTGCCGATCAAACCCTGGATCTGGGACAGCTGCATGCAGTATCTGCCTTTGGTCTCTTCTAGGCTGTTCTCCAAGGATGCTTTCTGTGAGGGAAGAAAAGGGCGGTGAAGACCAATGATGATGGTCACCGCTGTCTCTGAAGACCCCTGGGAATATTATTTAGATAGGTACATGGGTCTTGACCCCAGCTGGACTAGTAATTATGAGAGACATACAGGAAACATGTTTCCCCAACATTGTGCCTTTAATTTCTCCGTCTCTATGAAGGATACCACGGTGGTTCCAGTCTCATTCCCTGGTGGCCCCTGAGTGATGGGAACTACTGGACTGCACTAGAGCCAGATCCTTCATACCATGCTGAGCTGGGACTGCAGTTCGATCTCCAGCCCCTGGAACACCCTGCGGAGCTCAGACACCTCACTGCGGCTGCTCTGGATTAGCTCACTGTTAGAAGCCACCTCTTTGTGCAGCTCCTCAGTCTGAGACAGAAGAGAGGAAAAGGTGTGAGACTCTCCAAAGCCTCCCTGGACAGGAGTCATGGAGGAGTAGGATGCAAGCAGGTCACAACCTTGCTCAGGAACCAGGCCTCCACATCTCTGCGGTTCTTCTCTGCCATCTGCTCATACTGGTCCCGCATCTCATTCAGAATGCGACTCAGGTCCACACCAGGGGCTGCGTCCATCTCCACGTTGACGTCCCCACCAGTCTGACTCCTCAAGGCAATCATCTCCTAGGAGAGATCACAAGAGAGTGGTCACCTCTCCTGGGAACCTCACCACACCTGCCTTCCATCCCCAAGCCCTTCGGCATCTCCACCTCCTCATGGTTTTTCTTCAGGAAGGCCAATTCCTCCCTGAGTGCCTCGATCTGCATCTCCAGGTCGGCTCTGGACATAGTTAGCTCATCCAGCACCCGGCGCAGGCTATTGATTTCATTCTCCACACCTTGGCGCATGGACAATTCATTCTCATACCTGAGAGGAGAGAAATCAAACTGAAGATGAACAACTCTACTCTGTTATCCTTTCCCTCTGTCCTCTGTCCTCTGTCCTCTGTCCTCTGCCCTCTGCCCTCTGCCCTCTGCCCCCCTGCCCCCTGCCCTCAGCCCAGCATGCTGGCAGCTCACTTGATCCTGAAGTCCTCAGCTGCCAGCCTGGCATTGTCGATCTGCAATGTGGTCTGTGCATTCCCCTGTGTGGCCGCAAGGATCTAGAGGTAGAATAAAAAGATACGGAGTCTGATCACCCAGAGTCCCTACTACTCAAGGGAGAAGGACAGAGAAAAGCAAAAGAATCCACCCCAAGCCCAGTGATCACATGGCTAGCAGGTCAGCTCCTACAGCTTCTGACAATGGAGTACTTACTCCTTTACGCAGCTCAGTTTATATGGGGGTGCACTAATGTCTACCATCAACCCTTTCCTAGGCCCAGAAGAGTTAAGGAGCTGAGCATAATGTAACCTCAAAGGGGATTAAGAGTCAGATCCCAGTTCTATCCGAGGCATGGATGTTCTAAAAGGACCCTCAACCACTTCTCTGGATAACTATGACCATTAACCTCCAAAAGTCTTTAGTCTTCTTGCCTATGTATTAGACTCTCTAGAAGTGTCTTTCCCAAAGGCCACTGCAGTTCTGACTTCTCTTCCACCAGAACCACCCACCTGGCTCTTCAGGTCCTCGATGGTCCTGAAGTAGGAACTGTAGTCTTTGATCTCAGTGGGCCGCTGCCTCTGGTACCAGTCATGGATCTTCACTTCCAGATCTCTGTTGGCCTCTTCCAGGGCACGAACCTTGTCCAGGTAGGTGGCCAAGCGGTCATTGAGGTTCTGCATGGTCACTTTCTCACTGCCCACCAGGAGCCCATCACCAAAACCGCCACCAATTCCACTACCAAATCCACCACCAAATCCACCACCAAGTCCTCCACCAAAACTGCTGCTGCTGAAGCCACCGCCATAGCCACCTCCAATCCCACAGGCTCCCCCAGAGGAGAAGCGAGAGGAGGAAACCGACATGCCCCCATAGGTGCTGGGAGCCCGGCAGGATCCTCCAGCCAGGACGGAGGAGATGCGGCTAGAGCCACCACAGGAGCCCTTCATGGAGCTGGAGGAGGAGAACTGGCGGCTGCAGGAGGTCATGATGAGGAACGTGAGAGTGTGGGCGAGTGAGCAAGGAGAAGACAGAACTGTGCAGTGGAGGCTAGAGATGCTGAGGGTGCCTCAGACACCAGGTTCTTTTATATGTACCAGGGGAAGGCGGGGCCTTCAGACTGCTGACTCCAGGTTCCCCTGTGGATTTAGTCAGTCAGTCCTGTGCAACTCCCCACTCTGGATTGTTCAGCCCAGGGTGGACTCTCTCTCTCTCTCTCTCTCTCTCTCTCTCTCTCTCTCTCTCTCTCTCTTCCATAGATGGCTCAGAGTTCCTGCCCAGCTCTGTGGGTGTGGCTCCAAGAGAAAAACATACAAATTCAAGTCAGTACTGACTCAGGTTGTATAGCCTGAAATGGGCTTCTGTTCCTGGAGCCTGAGGGCAGAGCAACAAGGAGGCCTAGGTGCAGGAAACCTCTGACATGCGCGTCCTCAGGCCGTGAGTCAGCCAGTCCCTGCCCCACAGTGAGAACCTTAGGTGGCAGAAGTCTCATTGATGCTATACCAAACTGTCATTGGATACTGTTGCATAATTCCACATGCCGCATGGTAGAGATAGGTTGCTCACCATAGGTCCTGAAGCCCTCAACCTCCTCATTCTGTGCCTGCTCTCCCTGGACAGGAACAAGTCTGAGCTGGGTAGCTGCAGTCCTTTCTAGTTCTAAAAAATTAAAGGAGTTCCATTCCCATGCATTATCATTTGGATTCGAAAGCTGCCTTTGAGACACCAGGATGTCCAGATTGGTGTACACCATAGCGTCCACACCCTATGGCGACACAGGCACATCCTGCCTCTCACTCATGGCCCAGTACAGAAGGATCTTGTCATCCCTCTAGGCCTCAGTTCTTTCTCAACACATAAGAGTCACAAGAAACATGCCTGGAGACCCTAATCCTGTGGTCAGTCTCTTCATCCTCCCTCTGCAGCCTTGCAGCCTTCCTCACACACCTCCATATCCTGACCCTTAACATGAGGTCCCTGCAGTAAAAGAGCATCCACCCACAGCTCCTCCATGCTACTTCCTGCCCTTACCTACTCAGGGGCATCCCCTGTGGTCTTTGCTGGACTCAGTAGGACAGAATTCAGCTCCTAATACTATCTGTGTGCCACCAGCCCTACCTCCACTCTGCCACTCCATAGGCCTCAGAGTCCCCATGTAGAAACCATCTTGCCCAAGAAATGCCCAGGCTGGGCTTGGTGGCTTTGTTCATCCAGTGTGCACAGGGCTTTGTACTGATAAGTAATGCCTGCCATGCTTGCTATGCAGTTCTGAGAAGTAGGCCAACTGTAGGTGTCATTTCCAAAACCAATCTACAGGTGACAGAGGCTCAGTAGGCTCCCGGAACATCAGACTCTTCACCATCCTGAATCTCTCTCTGCCCCTCTCAAACTCACATCATTTCTTGATCTTTGAATTAACCTTGTAGGTGAGAAGG